ATAGCTGGGACTACAGCCATATGCCACTATGCCTGGCTAATTTTCCTATTTTTAGTAGAAATGAGGATCTCACTCTTGCTCAGGCTGGTCTCTGAGCTCAAGCAATCCACCTACCTCAGCCTCTCATAGTCCTAGAATTATAGGTATGAGCCACCGCGCTCAGCCCACATACAAAATATTAACAACTATTGGCTCTAAGTAGTAGAGGTGTTGGATTTTATGAGCGATTTGTGACTTTGTACTTTTGAATGTTTTTCAGATTTCGTACTGTGAATATATTCATATTTATAAGTCCAATGAATCTTTAATCACAGTATGTTCATTTGTCATAACAGCCATATCTTAGAGCTGATTCATACAAAGTTTATATCAAATAACCCCTCCAAAATTTTAAGCATAAATTACTACCAAACTAAGAATTTCCAATCCTGTACTTCTACTACTCCATTTTTTCAACCAAATGTAGGACTTTACACCTAACCTCTGATTATCAAGTTGTGTCATTTCGCAGTCTCCAGCTTCCTCATCTGCACTATGAAAACCTCAGGCCAGGAGGAACCTGAGATCCTTCCATCACTTACAGTCCTCCAGGCACCTGCTAGCAGCCTTGGTCTGTCTGTTTAGGGAATAAAGAATCTGAAAGACTGAAAGTGAACCACCTTCTTTCAGATCTAGGACTGTGACAGTATTTCCTTGAGAAGCAGCTCAAATTAGAGTGAGAAACTGCCCTTCCTCCACACCACTGCCCTTCAGCCCAGAGGGCAGCAAAATCCTCTTTTGCACAGGGCAGGAAACTGCCGAGAATGCCGCTAAACTGTCAGCAGTGAGAACCCGAGGTTTATGAGCCTAAACAGTCATTCACTTTCACTGCTGGAACAATTCAGGTCTGTCAGGTTAATAAGTAATAGGGCTTTCGCAGAGATCACTGGAGGACAGCATGCCATTTCTGTCGCCGCACTTCCTAAAAACCAACTCCCAGGCTCTCTCCAATCCAGCTTCCACATTCTGTGATACCTGCCGCAGAGCCCCTCCCCTCTCCTTGGCTTCTCTGCCTGGTCCACTACTGCTATCAAGCTTCCCTTTCTGACCCAGCACCGACATCTTCCACAGGGCTTCTCTTCACACCAGTTCTCACTTCTTATTTATTTATTGTAGAGACAGAGTCTCACTTTATCGCCGTCAGTAGAGTGCCATGGCGTCACACAGCTCACAGCAACCTCCAACTCCTTAGGCGATTCTCTCGCAAAGATCAACTTGCCTCAGCCTCCCAAGTAGCTGGGACTACAGGCACCCGCCGCACTGCCTGGCTATTTTTTTGTTGCAATTTGGCCGGGGCTGGGCTTGAACCAGCCACCCTCGGTATATAGGGTCAGCACCCTACCCACTGAGCCACAGGCACTGACCCACTTCTCACTTCTATCAGGGGTCATCCAGCACTTCTGTTGGGGAAGCCTTCTATGTCTCCTTATATAAGGATATGGGACAATGACCACTGTCTAATGAATGGATTCCAGTTTCCCATGCAGATGACACATCAACTAGCTGTCCATCCTCAAGATTCTCAGTATCTATCCCAGATCACTGTGTGCCTGAAAGATACACCTCTCTTGCCAGTTATGGGTCTCTCCAACTTTGACCAGCTTTCCCAGTACAGCAAAAATGCCTCCCTATGACTGCCATCTTAAACAAAGAACTCAAAGTCAAGTTCACCTGGTCTCTGTATTGGTTCCTATACTTAGTCACCATTAAACTTAAGAATTCAGAATACAGGTGGTGCACACCTGTAATCCTAGCACTCAGGGAGACCAAGGTGGGTGGATTGCTTGAGCTCAGGAGTTGAGACCAGCCAGAGCAAGAGCAAGAACCACCTCTACTGAAAATAGGAAAAAAACTAGCCAGACATTGTGGCAGGTGCCTGTATCCCAGTTACTCAGGAGGCTGAGGCAAGAGGATTGAACTCAAGGTTGCTGTGAGTTATGACGCCACCACAATCTCTCCAGGGTGACAAAGTGAAACTCTGTCTCCATAAAAAAAAAAGAAAAAAAAATCAGACATTTTCCAGCTATCTTACATAGTAATTTAATGTCTGTTGAATTTAATAATAAAATATTTGGACTTACATCTTATATGTCATTTTTATTCCATTCTTCTGGTAAGTCATTTTTATTGTATTTTATAAAAGTTTCAATTTGAAATAAAAAATAATTTTTAAAACCTGATCCTTTAACACATGTAATTTGGGAATCACTAAATTGGGTGGCTTGGATGGAAGTAATCTACAGCACACACTTTGAGAAACACTGCTATTTAGACTTATACCATTAAACTGTCCCTGTCTCAAAATTTCACTCATTGCCTTGAAACCAACTCTAGACTATTGGTTTTCACTCTAGTAGCTTATTTAAGTCACCCAGGGGCTTTAAAATACCGATAGAGAGGCCATATTGAAAATCAATTGAATTAGATCCCAAACATTAGCATTTTTATAAAGCTCCCAGGTGAGCAGGGTATGGTGGCTCACACCTGTAATCCTAGCACTCAGGAGGCCAAAGTAGGAGGATCCCTTGAGCTCAGGAGTTTAAGACAAGCCTGTGCAAGAGTGGGACCCCATCTCTATTAAAAATAGAAAAAATTAGCTGGGCAGGTGGCCTGCACTTGTACTCTTAGCTACTTAGGAGCCAGGTAGGAAGATCACTTAAGCCCAGGAATTTAAGGTAGCTATGAGTTAGGTGTCTGACACTAGGGCATTATAGCCTAGGCAACAGAGTGAGATTCTTTCGGCAAATAGAAAAGCACCCTAATGGTTCAAAGGCGCAGCCAGGGATGATCACCACTGGCCAGAACCCTCTCACCACTGGCCTGGCCTTCTGTTATTTTGTTTTGTTTTTGTTTGAGGAAGCTTGGCTCATTCTCTCTCCTTCCAATAATACTTTAATTCAAAATTTGAGCAATAAACAAGGAGAAGGAAGCAATAGAACAAAGACTGAAAAAAATGTGCTTCTCCATAAAAGAAATGAGAACACTGACAAAAATGCTCAAAATCAACTTTTTCAAAACTTTGAAAATGAATAAAAGGCTTGCAACAATCTGAAGAGTGTTAACTCAAGAAAAGAGCTGTGGTCAGCTGGGTTTCCAGGTTTCCAGTCTGCCCTGCAGATTTTAGACTTGCCAGCCCCTACAATCAATCACATGAGCCTGTTCCTTTAAATTGAGAGAGAGAGAGAGAGAGAGAGAGACATCCCTCTGTATCCATGGGCTCCACATCCATGGATTCACCAATGAAAGATTGAAATTATTTGAAAAAATACAGTAAAAATAATAAAACAATAAATATCACACAAATAAAAAATACAATATAACAACTATTTATATAACATTTATATTGTATTAGATATTATAAATAAGTGATCTAGAGATGATTTAAAGTATATAAGAGGATATACAGAAGTTATATGTAAATACTATGCTATTTTATGCAATAGAACCTCCATAGCTGACCACCTCCTTAAGTTGACCTAATTTTTACAAACCAAACATGTACCACATGTATGTGTCAGTACAGTAGGCCTATGTTAATCACCCCATATGTTGACCAGTTTGCTACAATCTCTGGGGTTGTCAATTTACAGAAGTTCTACTGCAATTAGAAGTAATTGTATAAAGAACACTAATAAGGGAGTTGACCGATGATTTGACTTACAAGAACTGAAAGTGCTTGACCCATGATTGTTTCCATCCTTTCTTTCATCCTTCTAGTTCTACTGGCAGAAAACCTGGGATTCACCCTTGGTTCCCCTCTTTTTCTCATGCCCCCAACCCCTACAATCAACACATCAGGATGTTCTATTGTCTTTAACTGCAATGCCCCATGATTTCTCATCTCCTTCACCACCACCTCTCATAATATCTCCTTATTGTAGTATTATAATGACATCACTGGCCTCCGTGCTTCCACTTTTGCTTCCTCACTGTCTATCCTCAACCAGTGGCCAATGTGGCCCCAGGAACAGCCCACATCCCCGCCATGTGCATGTCTCGCTGTTCTTCCTACTCCCTCCCTCTGCTCCAGCACAAGGGACACCTTGCTTTGCACTTGGCACCCTCCTGCTCCGGGGCTTCTGCAGGAGATATACCCTCTTCCCAGAACACTCTCACCCCACATAAACAGATGGTTTGCTTCTCACAGTGCTAGCATTACAGGCATGAGCCCCCATGCGTGGCTCCTCCACTCTTTTTTGGTTTTATTGCTTGTGCTTTTGCTGTCATATCTATGAAATTATGGACAAGACCATGTTGTGAATATTTTTTCCTATGTTTTTGTCTTAAGTGTGTTTAGGCTACTAGAACAAAATACCATAGACTGGATAATTTACAAACGACAGAATTCATTGCATGCTGACAGTTCTGGAGGCTCGGATGTCCAAGAGCAAGGCACTGGCAGTCAATGTCTGGCAAGGGCTTGCTGTCTGCTTCAAAGATGGCACCTTCTGCCTGTGCCCTCACATGGCAGAAGGGTCAAAAAGAAAGAAAGGCCTTATAAAAGAAACTCCCTCAAGCTTGTTTTATAATGACACTAACCCCATTCATGAGGAGAGATCTCTCGTGACCTAATCACCTTCCAAAGGCCTCACCTCATAATTCTACTGCATTGGAGATTAAGTTTCAACATATGCATTTTGGGGAGTGCAAGTATTCAGACCAGAGCAGCTTTCTTCTAGGAGTTTAGTGATTTCTTTCCTTCTTTTTTCTTTCTTTCTTTCTTTTAGACAGAGTCTCACTATGTCGCCCTTGGTAGAGGCCCGTGCCATCACAACTCACAGCAACCTCCAACTCTTGGACTTACATGATTCTCTTGCCTCAGCCTCCCAAGTAGCTGGGACTACAGGTGCCTGCCACAATGCTTGGTGACTTTTTGGTTGCAGTAGTCATTGTTGTTTAGCTGGCCCAAGCTGGGTTTGAACCTGCCAGCCTCAGTGTATGTGGCTGGCGCCATAACCAGTATGCTACAGGTGCCGAGCTGGAGTATAATAGTTTCAAGTCTCAACTTTCTTTATCAGTATTTCATAGCTCTTTCTACATTTTGAAGCACTTCCACATATTCATTAAATGCTTAAAGCGGAAACTCCAAAAGCAAGTCCCATTGAAGGTTGAAGCCTGAGTTACAATGACAGGCCATGAGCCCTTGAGAGTTATACTATGAAGTTCAGAGGAGGGTGAAACTCTTGCCCTTGCATGTCTCAAGGACGTGTCTTAGGCCCTCCTATGGCAGAATATGCCCACGGATGCCTGCTCTCCCTAAAGGAGCTTACTATATTAACAGGCTCTCCTAGAAGCCAAAATACAAGTATGGCCCTGTGAAAAGGACATGGTGGGCAAAAGCTTGTCTGGGATTGTGTTTAAGGATCATCTTTGCAGAGTGCTGGAATCAGCTAGCTCACTCCTCCTTTGGGTCTCTTGTCTTTTTCACCCCTCCTAGGAGCCACTAGCTGAGAGCCTTTTGCTCCGATAGTTACAAGATCATGCAAATTTCCCTCTGGCCTAAGAAGTTGATATTTATCGGACTAAATGCCACCAAGAGAAATGGAGAGCAGAGGACCAGAGAGATCTCAGGCAGGTCCCTGGCCCTATCTGAATCTGGAGAGGCGGCTCTTTACAAGGTTGTCCTTGGGGATTAGGAACACCGTAGATTCTCAGTATGTGGTCCATCATTCATTTTGTTCAAAGGATAAAAAGATGCTAGAGACTGAGGCCCCTGCTCTTTATTGCATTAAAAGGGTAGAAACCAATATGGAGAACAAATGCAAAAGGCTGTTCCTTTAGCCATAAAGTCAGGACCAGCACAGAGAACAGGGGTGGCTGTCTGGGTTGCTGCTAATGCAGGAATCTTTGAAGACTTCCTGGTTGGACTGGTGCTGAACTAGATCTGGGGAGAGAAAATGTTTTCATCCTGGGGGAGAGAGAGGGGTATTTCGGGGCAGGATCTAGGTTACTAGGGGATAGGGGTTACTTCAAGGAAGAATCTACATTACTCTGAGAGGGTGTAATTCAGGGAAGGATCTATGTTACCATGAAGGGAGGACATTTCTGGACAGGAATTATGTTACTGTGGATGGGGGGGTGTATTTTATAACAGAAGCTATGCTACTGGGCAGATGAAGTGAGGCTCAGAGGGTGATGCTATGTGGATGTGGCCGAGGAGAACTCAGTGTATTTAGCACTGGTGAGAGGTCACCAGGAAATCCTCAGAGTTCATGGGCAGAGCATTCTGCCTTGTAGCTGCAGAAAGGGTTGCCTGAAATCAACCAGATCTTCATTTTCAATAAAGAAATCAGACCGCTTCAGGTGAGTTTCTTAGTAATATCCCACCTCAGGGATGGTCTCTTCTTGGTGCAGCTCTGTCCCCCGGTGAGATGCATCCAGAAAGACAAATGTATATGTGTGGCAGTGGTTGGCTGGGGTGAGTGGGGGAAGGGGGTTACTACATGGCAGGCTGGGGCAGGTCCGTGGTAAATTCCCAAACCTCTCTGTGTCCTCTTGGTGCAAGAAAAAGGCTAAGAAAGGGCTTCACAGACTCCTGAGATTCCCCAGTATTGACCAGGCCCCCAGAAATGCTTCTACAGGTGGGGGTTTGGGGAGAGGTGTGAGGCAGGGCCAGGAGAAAGAAACCAGGGGTAGAGGCGGGGGAAAAGCTCCCTGGATCTTTGGGCTAAAGGCTGCCTCAGAGCCAGAAGGGAAGGATCCCAGACCTAGGCAGAATGTCAGAGTGAAATGAACAATTTAAATTTACCTTTAAAGGGACAAGAAGAATTGACTCCTACTAGATGATATTTATGTGACAATTTCCGTATACACAATGCACTGGGTTTTTAAAATTTATTTGAAAATACTAGGGGCACCCATGTTTTGTTTATGTATTTTGTTTTTAAACAGATGAGTCAAAGTTATAAGTGTGAAAAAAGGTTGTAAGTGTGCCCTTCACTCAGATAGTGTGCACTGTACCCAATAGTTGTGAATTACCCATCCCCACTTCCTACTCCCCCCAGCTAGATTTTTATTGCGATTTATTTCTGTTTGCGCACTTAGGTGTTGTTCCGACTTGGTATTTAGTATGGGCATTTGTTTCTCCATTCTTGCCATGTTTCACTTAGTAGAATGAGTTCCACAGCGCATTGTTTATTGAACGTTCCATCAAAATCCTTTTAAAGACGAGGCTGTGACTCCCCAAGGTTAAGTTAGGGAGCAGCCGCCTCACGCCAGGTTCCCTAATGCACGCTTCCGCAGGGCTGGTTGGTCGCCCTCTCAGTCACTGTGCGGGGATTCCTGGGTGAGAAACCAAATCCACGTGCTGCCAAAGGCACTGCCGCTTCTGCTAAGCCGTGTGACCTCGGTTTCACCCCTGCTCACTTCAGGTCAGACAGGGGTCAGGATGCCGTCTGTCCCTCCATCCACAGTCGGGGTGGGGGGCGGGGCGGAGTCACTTCTGGAGCTTATTCCTGTGTCTGCTCAGGGCTCTGCTGGTTCCCCCACTGTCCAACCCACGTCGTGGGATCATGATCATCAAGAAAATGCTCTAGACACAGGGCTATGAGGAAAAAGAGGTCTAAAGACAAGCGTACATCTGTATTTGGAGAGGAAAAAATGATTTTTTTTCCAAGCTGGAAGAATATCCGCTTCCTACTGCTCCAAGAGTAAAGACTTTTTCTTTTTGATATTTTAACCCGAACTTTTAAAGGTCCCTTAGCTCCGCCCCTCTTCCTCCTCATCCCGCATTTCTCTTTGCCTTATTTGAAATGTCCTTCCCTCTCTCCTTTTTACGCGTCTATTTACTTCACACCTACATTTTCTCATATTTGCCTTGAGACAACTGTCTTTGTTCACCCTCAGGACAACCCTACAAGGAGCCAGCATCACCCCATTTGAGAGATGGGGAAACTGGGTTCAATGTCAGGTGAGCATAAGTAGTTAGACTCAGTAGTGGTTCTCCAACAACGAAAAGAATTTTACGGCAGGGGGTGTCACCACGACAGAAGGAACTGTATTAAAAGGTCGCGGCATGAGAAAGGTTGAGAACCACTGAGTTAGAGGATGTCCGTTTAGTCCTCTGTGGGTACATGCAGGCTGTGAGAAGCCCCTGAGCTGATGACTGAGACAGGCATTCCTTCCCTGTCCCTTTCGTGACCCCGCCAGGTGAGAAGTTCAGCCCCGCCCTTTCTTGTCGCCTTCCCACACTCGTTACACTTTCTTCCATGCCCACACTCCCATTGGCCCGCCACCATGTGTCCCCATTGGCTGTGAAGGATAGTGACAGGTACATGATTGGTCCCTGCTCCCATGACGCGAGGTGTCAGGTCTGTTTCTGCCTGGAGCAGAAGCCACGAATCCCACTCTGGCCAGAGAGGCCAGGTGGCCTCTGTCCCTGGAGTGCGGGAGTCGTCTGCATGGATGCCCACCTTCATCTCCAGAAAAGTGCCCTTGGGCCTGAGAGTGTTCGTGTATAGGCAAGTGGATTCATTGCAGTGGGACTAAGCAGGTGAACATTTAAGTCTGAGTTTACAGAGGCATTTGTATATGTCATGGTGACAACCTACATATCAAAGAATGGTTTGGGATATTTTTTGCATAATATGATATGCATAAGGAGTCAAAGGAAGTTGCCTGTGGGTGGCTGTACATTGTTCAAGTGTTTGGTGATGCAAATGTTTTTTGAAGTGATGCTTTAAAGTGATTGTTTCTCTGAAACTTGTAGAAGGTTGAGGTCATTCTTAAAAACTTTAGGGAGTTTTTAAAATGTCAGCTCTAAGTGGGTATTAAGTGGTGTTTTAGTAAGAAAATATTTAGTCGTGAAAATGTGCTTTGCTTTATAGATGAGAGGTAATGAAAATATGGCATGAGCCAGTGTGAACTGTCACAGAATTCCCCTTTAGAAGAACATACCAATGAAGCCATCTCCTAACTTAGCCTGAAAGGTTATGCTTGGCAAGCTGATCTCACCAATAAGGGTGAACACAGCAATTTAAAGGGGGTAATATGCCAGGGCTATGGTCATTCTGAAATGTCTAATGTTATTTTTGGCCCCAGTTTTTTGCAAAATGAATAGACTTTACACACAGGAAGTGCCCAGTAAACATTTGTTCACTGCAATGCAGTCCCCAGAATCCCTTAAGATGCAGCTTCTCAGGCTGCTGTGTGCCCCATGCCCCACTTCTGTTGGAATGTGAGCAGCTTGTGCCACTTGCCCTTACTCCAGATAGCCACAGAATCATGAGCATATCCTTTTGGAAGTAAAAACGGTTAGACTATAATCTAGTTAAAGAATTTCCATTTATTTTATACAAATAAATAAATTAAAACCTAGAGAGATTCTTGGTTCATGCAAAGTTACACACTGGTTAACAGGAAACTAGGATTATGACCCAGGCCCTGAGCCAATCTATAATCCAGCCTGCCCTTCTACACCGGTTCATCTTGTGTTATCCCATGTGCCTTGGAGTCTTAAGACTGGCTCCCTTCAAACTATCTCTGTACTGAGTTCCCTCAATTCTCATGTTTCAGATGCCCAAATATTCACATTCACCTCTCCAAGCATGGCCAACTTCCTGAGTCAGAGTAGGATATCTGGGTTCATGCCCTTCTGTAATCTCTCCCTACCTTTCTTAAGTAGTACTTGGCAGCATCATTCTTAAAGGGCTTTTTTGGCTTTCTCAAACCTATTGCTTCTCTGAATAGCTGAGAACTGAATTCATGAGACAATGAGTGCAAGGGATACAGAAAGGTCTTTGGGGTTAGGGTAAAACTAGGATGTTATTTCTTCTCTCCCTCAGATTTTTCTCCAAATCTTCATTTTCCTTTAGTTGATTCAACCCAGCCTCTCTGCCCATCCCACTGCTTGGGAGATTTTGTCTTAGTTGTTCAGGAAACTCTTAGCAGCTCTAGTCTGGGAGAAGCAGCCAAGAAAGGGAATATTTGAGTTCATCATTTATGCCTGCCCATGGTCCTTCACCCTGGGAAGGTCTGTGCACAATAACATGAATTCTGACCAGAGAACTTTTTTTGCTTGTTTGTTTGTTTTTTGAGACAGAGTCTCACTCTGTTGCCGACGCTAGAGTGCAAGTGGCATCATAGCTCACAGCAACCTCAAACTCTTGGGCACAAGTGATCCCCTTGCCTCAGCCTCCCAAGTAGCTGGGAATATAGACATGTACCACCATGCCCAGCTAGTTTTTCTATTTTCAGTAGAGACGGGCGTCTTACTCTTGCTCAAGCTGGTCTTGAACTCTTGAGCTCAGGCAATCCATCTGCCTTGGCCTCCCAGAGTGCTAGTATTACAGGTGGGAACCAATGCACCTGGCCTCTGACCAAAAATCTTACTGATGTGTTGACAAAACAAGATTAAGTTAGAGACCAGTGTGATTTGGGGCTGGGACTGCTTGAAGGAATTGAGACTTAAACTGAGAATGGAAAGACACCTTGGCTCTAGATCAGGGGTCCTCAAACTTTTTAAACAGGGGGCCAGTTCACTGTCCCTCAGACCGTTGGAGGGCCAGACTGTGGGCCCCGGGACGAGTCGGGTGCTAAGCAGGACAGGCAGTGGCAGCAAAAACACCTGGTGGGCTGGATAAATGTCCTAGGTATGCCGCATGTGGCCCACAGGCCATAGTTTGAGGAGGCCTGCAACAGAAAGTGGGGCCAGGGAGGCGGAAGAGGGCACTGAGCTATGGACTAGAGGTTGAGCTGGAGAGCAAAAGTATCTTTTGCTAAAGAACAAAAGTGAAAGAAAGCGGAAATTGAGAGATTCTGAGTTTTCAAGGCTGTTATTTAAATGCAGACTTTCCAGGCCCTAGCAATGGAATTCCAGACTGTACTTTCTACCCTGCCTGTAATTCCTTACACTGCTGGGAGCAGTTTCCTTAATACATTCTGCATCTGTAGAGGAATTTTAGAAGAAAAAGTCTTTGTTTGTAAATAAAAAATCACTGCTAGATCTCTCTCTCTTTTTTTTTGAGACAGTCTCTGTTGCCCAAGCTAGAGTGCCATGGCATCACCCTGGCTCACAGCAACTTCAAACTCTTGTGTTCAAACTCCTGCCTCAGCTTCCCAAACAGGTGAGACTACAAGCACCCACTATGATGTCAGGCTAATTTTTATGTTTTTAGAAGAAATGAGGTCTCACTCTTTTTTTTTTTTCTCTTTTGTGGTTGTTGGCCGGGGCTGGGTTTGAACCTGCCACCTCTGGCATATGGGGATGGCGCCTAACTCCTTTGAGCCACTGGTGCTGCCCTGAGGTCTCACTCTTGCTCAGGCTGATCTCAGACTCCTGAACTCAAGGGATCCTCTGGCCTCTGCTTCCCAGAGTGCTAGGATTACAGGTGGATTTCATTTGCGGTATGTTCCATTCCCCTTTTCCTAGCAAAAGAACTAACCTTAGAATAAGGTGGAGAAGGGTCCTGTCCACCCCCCATCTCAAGTGACTTCTGAGGCACTTGTCCTGGGTGAGTCAGCCCTTCACACAAATCAGGTACTGACAGGACAAACTCAACTATATTATTGCAATAAAAAGCTCTGCCTGAAAAATATTTCCCTAAGACCCAAGCAGGGCCACAGAGATGAAAACAAAATTCCAAGTCAGTAAAGATAACTTGGAAAGAATGCCCTTTGAGAATCACAGCAAAATCATTCCTAGTGGTGAGCAGGAGGGAACATCTAGGGGGAGGACATTTAAAATCACATAAAATCAGCTCAGTGCCTGTAGCTTAAGCAGCTAAAGCACCAGCCACATACACCTGAGCTGGCGGATTCCAATCCACCCTGGGCCTGCCAAACAATGACAGCTGCAATCAAAATATAGCTGGGTGTTGTGGCGGGTGCCTGTAGTCCCAGCTACTTGGGAGGCCGAGGCAAGAGAATCACTTAAGCCGAGGAGTTGGAGATGGCTGTGAGCTGTAATGCCACAGGACTCTACCCAGGACAACAGCTTGAGGTTCTGTCTCAAAGTAAAAAAAAAATCACATAAAATCTAATTAAGTTTAATGCTGACAAGACTTGCTTCTCTGCTTCAAGGAGAATGGGAGGATATTTTCCCATCTTCTCTTTGGGGGTCCCCCTCCCCGCCCCAGAGGGAGAAATTTCTCCCCATTCCTGATCAGGGCAGGGCAAGGTGAAGCCACAGCTCCAGGCAGCAGGCCAGGATGCTCTGGTGTGGTCCCTACACCTAGAGGCCACAAGTGACTGGGAAAGGCTTCCCACTATGGGGGAGGCAGAAGGCTGCACCCTTATCCAGAGGGCTGCACCCTTATCCAGTGACTGAAACTGTCCACATGCCATCCGGCTACTTCAGGCAGAGTGTCTGGGTAGAAACCCAAACTATCAGCGTTGGCATTGGGTGAGCAACAGATGCCTCATAAGCCCAGAGACCTTTGGCATTAGTATTCTGCGAGTATTCGAGAATTTGAAATCCTGGGAGGACCCTGATATTTTTATACCTCCATTCATCTAGATTGGTGCTTCCCATTATGTGTGTTAACCTAAATTCCCTGGTATCCAGGTACATCTGTTTCTCTTTAATTTACATAAGTAAAGAAAACCTCTATCATTCTATTTCAAAGTTTCTCATTTTTCCCTGGACAGTTCAAAACCTTCTCAGTTTCACTTTGCTTCTTAATAAAGCTTCGTTGGTGTCTGGAAATTGGAGACTCTAAAGACCTGGAGTCTAGTCTAACTCAGCCCTGGGGCTGGGCTCACGGGACCTCAGAGATTCAGTGCTGTTCTTTCTTGGAAGGTACCAGGTGGAACTCCTGGTAATGGACATCACAGAGGCTTGCAGGGATCTGCTTGGACAATTACAGCGTCATCCAGTTGCCATCTTCCTACCCTTGTTCTGAAAAGTGAAACAAGACTACTTTGTTGATGATAGTGCTGCTTTCTGGCCTAAAAAGTTCTTAAAATCCCATACTGCCTTACAGGTTTCACCTCCTCATTGGCTGATTCTCCCTGCTAAAAAAGTAGTGGAAAAATTTTCTCTTATTTTCTTCCCCAATATTCTCTTTATGGAGGAGATTCTGTTTCCAGCTGCTTCCAGCTGTGGTGCCTTAGTGATGTCTCTGCAATGCTGAAAGTGTGAGAATCACCTATGATGCTGGGGGCTGGACCTACCCCAGTGGATTTCAACCTAATGTTTTTGAGCCTGGGTGTTTCCCTAGATGACTCTGACATACATCAAACTTGACAAACCTCTGACGGAGGTCGTGCCTTGTCCCTGTACAGCAGAACTGAGGTCAGGTGAGGGTGGACCCTGTGGAGACTCCAACTCCCAATTCATCTGAAACCCCAGCACTGAGCACCTATTGGGGGCTGGACTCTGGGGGAACAGAGATGGTGAAGATGCAGCCCCTCTGTTCAAGAGCTGGCAGGGCAGTAGGGAGCAGACTTCATCCAAGGTGGGGCGAGCACCTGATGGAGGGTTCCACGGCTCTAGTAAGAGGCCCTGGCCCCTGTCTCTTATTAAATAATTATTGCATGTCAGTCCCAGAATCATCTCACCTTGGAAAGGCTCCTGGTTTGTAAGCTCAGATGTGACAAAGGATGACATAGTGATCATCTCCAGAACCCCCCAGGAACAAGACAAGGCAAATCCTGTCCCACCACTCTCTCATCAGGTGACTTCTGGCTTTCACAGATTATAAAGTACATTTCTTCTTTCTTTTTGAGGTATAGTATATTCACAGAAAAGCTCACAAATCTAAAGTGTATACATTGAGGGATTTTTTTCATATGTATACACCTGTGTAACCACTACCCAGATCAAAGAGGTTCTCCCGGAGTCCAGTCCCCAGTAGGTGCTCAGTGCTGGGGTTTCAGATGAATTAGGGTCTACCCTCCCCTGAGCTCAGTTCTGCAGTACTGGGACAATTTTTAAAGTTAAAAAAGACCTCATAGGATGGGATACATACCTACCAGCTTTGAACATACTGTACAACCCAGCATCTCAGGATATGGCTGCTTTCCTTGGCTACACTTGAACTTAACAAGTATCTGGTGAGTACCTGCAATGCGCTAGAAGCTTCCTGAGATAAGTCCCAGTGCTTCTCAAATGTAAATCCACTCTAGGTCGCCCTTGTGCTTTTAGGAGTCAGGCTTCAGTGCCATCAGTGGTTTACTTTGTATCTGTTATCGATGATGTTCATTGGTTTGGGACCTTTTACTTGAGAGAGGTTCCTCCTTTCTGACTTCTTTTCCCTGTAATGTTGCGATTATATTATTTAGGGCAAAACAAAATCCATATCACGTTACATGTCATAATGGCGACCCCTGAACAAGACAATAACCCCGGTGGCAGTGCAACACCTGGGCCACTGGAAAAGCTGCAGGAGCTTGAGCCACGGGTGGTCCGAAGACGCTTGTCCCAGGCCCGCCACCGAGCCACTTTGGCAGGGCTCTTCAGCAACCTCAGGAAGACTGTTTACTCCCAGTCTGATCTCACAGCCTCAAAGGTATGGGGTCCTGGGTGTGGGGAGAAGACATTTTCATACATGGCAGGACTATGTCACAAGGTAAGGACTAGCCTGGAGCTGCTACTCCAGTGGGTGGCAACAAATATCTTAGACCAAATAAACTTATGAATAACAGAAATTTTTTGCTCATGGTTCTAGAGGCTAAGAAGTCCAAGATCAAGGTGCCAGCAGATTGGGTGTCTGATGAGGACTTGCTCTCTGATTCACAGACAGGGCCTCCTGCTGAGTCCTCACATGAGGGGTGGGCAAACAAGCTGCCTTGGGTCTCTTTTATAAGGACTCTAATCCCATTCATGAGGGCTGTGCTCTCATGATTTTATCACCTCCCAAAAGGCCCTACCTCTTAATACTATCACACTGGGGATTAAGTTTCCACATATGAATTAGGAGGGGACAGAAATATTCAGACCATAGAATCATCCATCCTCTCACCCTAAGAACAAGCCCCAGATTCTGGCAACTAGTTGCTGACTCAGCAGCATAATCATGAGCCCAGGACTAGGGAAAGCTGAACATGTAGGATCATTGGGGTGGATCTTGCTCTGAAAGGAGTGCGCAGAGGGTTCTTGCAATTGACTCATGTCGCCGCTGTTCTCTTCACCTTCATTGGGTCGGCCAGAGCCCTGTGCTTCCAGCTCCCTTCAAGCCTATTTTTTGGGCAGCAGCCAGAATCCCTGGGAATCTACAATGGCAAAACTCAGGCTGCCACCCCCTAGCTGCTTTGGGGTCCCCGCCCACTGCCCATACCACAGTCTGGCCCATCTCCCTGTGACAGATCCCTGAATGAGGCCTGCCTCCTCAGCCTGTGTCTTTGCTCATGCAGGTAGCTCTGCCTTTGAGGTTCTGTGCACAATTCAGAGCTCAGCGTGGCTCACTCTCCTCAGCTGTCCTGCTCCACGGAATCTTCTGGATCAGTCCAGATGGAATCAGTCCCTCCCCCTTGTCCATTTATTTCCACAATGCTTTGCTTTTACCCTGTGAAAACACTCGCTCAGTTCCATCTTGTGTTACGAGGAGTTGTGTCCATGCTTGTCTTCCCTGTTAGAATGTCAGCACTCAGCCTAACCACTAACAGTTCTTGTTTTTAAATAATCTTGTAGTTATTACCTTGACATCAAATGTTACATATAAGAAGGAAGGAGAGAAGAAAAGGTGAAAAGAGGGAGGAACAAAGGAAGTAAACAAGGAAGGAAGAAAGGGAGGGAGGGAGGAAGAAGGGGGAAATTTAGAGCTCTAGTTGACAGAGCATTTGATAAGTTTTTAGATCATCTGGAGGGTATGCAGTTAGCCAATAAAAAATATTGTAAGCAGCACATTTTTATGCTAATAACTAGGCCGCTGCACATTGTTATAACCGAGCTGAGGGCTCACTCTAGGCTTTTGTGCAAGCCTGAGGTTGATGCTCATCCAGGTGGTGCCCTCTCAGTCCCCCTTTATTCCACTTTCAAGTACCCTCTGTGGTCATTTGCCTTTGTACGGCACTACTAATTTGCTGAACGAAGCTTAATTGTCTTCAAGTATTTTGACATTTTGGTGAGAATCCATTTCTGGACATAAGCAAAACTTCACGCCTTCTGTGCATCAGAAAAAACTTCCCATCCTTTTCACTGACAAGGTCAGTGGATGAGACTTTGCATCTGAGGAAGCACAGCCTCGGCCCTGGGAAGGGGATTCCGGATCTACAAAACCAGTCTCTGCAGTGAAAGGCTGGCTTTTCAGCATTGTCTCTCTCTGTCCTCAGTGGCAGATTCTGAATAAGGCAAAGAATCACATTCAGGAACTGGAACAAACTCTGAATAATTTGCTGAAGCTGAAAGGTAATAGACTCCTACCTGTCACTTCCATCTCCCTCCCCAGAGAAAGCTAGTTCAATTTTTTTGTTTGTTTGTTTGTTTAACTGAAAACAGAGAGATTGGATTATACTGAGTCAACAAATATTTACTGAGGGCCTACTGTGTACCAGGCACTGTTTGTGGGCTAAAATCGAGAGACTTGCCCCTGTCCTCAGGAGCTTGCAGCCTGGCAGGACAGGCAGGAGTCCCTGATTTCTGATGAGTTTCCTATTGGGGTGTTGCTGAAGACACCTGACCTCACCTTCAGAGGAGAAATGGGCCAGTCCACAACTCTCCACTCACACTTAGGGTGAGAGGTGGAAACTGGGCTCTGGCTCCCTAGTGCTGACCCTGGGAGGGTTCAGGGCCCCATCCAAGGTCCACCTGGGCCAGAAAGGTGGGAATGACTTGACAGAGGCCTGGCTTTCCCTTTTGTGACCTTGGCCTTCAACTCCCCAACAGAAACTCTCAACCTGGAAGATGGTAATGCAAGCAGCTTAGAGGAGGTCAAGGAAGAATATGCCAGCCTGTACTCTGGAAATGAAAGGTAAGACCCTGCAAGCCACAGGAGGATGGGAACCTGCCACCTCGTGCCAGATGATAGCAGTTCACCCACCAGCCTGCAGAGCCATCAGGGCTGCTGCTCACCCTTTTAAAAGTCTCATTTTTTTCTCTTTTATTCTGATAACATGCATTGGATTTTTTCTAATTATAAAAATGATACATGCTTGTTATAGAAGAGGTAGAAACAGAAAAGCCCGGAAATACATATTGTGTTACCTCTCAAAGAAAATTAATGTTAAATTTGAAGAATATGATCTAGCTGTTTTTAAATATCCATCTAGTTTTTACAAAAATTTGCACATAGCTTTTTAGAGAAAGGAGACCATAGTGTTTGTATCGTATTGTGGCTTTTCCTAAGTATCTTTTTTTTTGAGACAGTCTCAGTTTGTCACTGGTAGAGTGCCATGGCATCATAGCTCACAGCAACCTCAAACTCTTGGGTACAAGCCATTCTTTTGCCTCAGCCTCCCAAGTAGCTGGGACTACAGGCGCCTACCACAACTCCCTATTTTTAGAGACAGGGTCTCTCTCTTGCTCAGGCTGGTCTCAAACCCATGACCTCAGGCAATCCAGCCATCTCGGCCTCCCAGCTATGTATCTTTTTTTAAACCCTCAACTAATGGCTTTATTAAAGGTTATACAGGATGGCCATAAAGTTCGTATGCAATTTAGAATAGGGTGCAATTTAAAACTGCACATGAACTTTATGGTCACCCTGCATATAAAAATATGAGAAATACAAATTGCAGCCTACATTCCAAGGGTCATGGGAACCTAAGGAAAGCCAAATGTGACATCAGAGAGGAAAATGAATCACAATACACCCAGGTGTCACAGATACCGAAGAGGGAACATTATTAATAATGTCACATTCAAACTGTGAAAGAGAAACTGATTTATGTCTTTCTTCTACTTCTATGCTGTCATGGTTCATATTTAATACCTACCACTACCTGAGCTTTTTATGTGGATGGTGTACATACATTCTTTGCTCTGCTCTCAGAGGATGGCCTCATCCCTGCACTGTGTCTTCATCATGCACAGCTGTTGTGACAAGTGGCCCCTGTCATCTCTCGGGGACCCTGGGCATATCTAGTTTACATGACATGGTGTATGTCCACGTTGGCCTCTGAGACAGAGTTACAAGTCGTCTCTACCCGTTATGTGAAGGGGACTACAAACTACTTGCCGTTCAGAGCCTACCAAAAGCCTGCCTGGATGACGCAATGGTGTTTCCTAATGTTTTTGGTGGAATCACTCATGACTTCTAATTTCCTCTCTGTGATTTTCCATATTTTCCAAATTTCTTAAACAATAAGTGCTTATTATAGCCTAAGGAAACAATCAGGAAAAATAATAAATTATTAAAAATTAAGTAAAACAAATTGCAGACAATGTGAAAATTCACAAAAAATGTCAAGGAGGAAATAACTACCTGTATATTAACAGATTACTGACAGCTTTAATCACCATTTAGGTCTCAGGGGGAAGGAGGTAGATGTGGGATGTGTGTGCGAATGCGGGGGCTGGGCCTTGCCCCACAATCAGCCTAGGAGATGGTCTCAGTGGTGTAGCAGTCTCCATTTGCTTCTTCCAAATGGTTAGCCAGTGATCTCAATTCCATTTATTATATAAATGTTCCTTTCCTTATTGGTATAAGGTACAAACTTTATTAACATACTAAAATCTTATCAATACTTGTATCACTTGTCCATAGAAAAGTGGTTACATTTCTTTTACAATCATAATAATAAGGGAAGATTTTTCACTACATCAATTAAAATTGTGGTACCAACATAGGGATAGATTAACTGTATTTTATAATTATTATATATTAATCCATTAAATAAATATGAGTGAATTCTAAGTGCCTTTATTCAAGATCATTTGTGTGTCCATTCCTGGGAACTGTTTGTACCTATTCTTTGCTCATTTTCCTGTTGGGCTACTGATCTTTTTCTTATATTTAATAGTACAAGCTCTTTTTTTTGAGACAGAGCCTCAAGCTGTCTCCCTGAGTAGAGTGCTGTGGCATCACAGCTCACAGCAACCTCCAACTCCTGGGCTCAAGTGAGTCTCCTGCCCTCACCTCCCAAGTAGCTGGGACCACAGGCGCCTGCCACAATGCCCGGCTATTCTTTTTGGTTGCAGCCATCATTGTTTGGCGGCCCGGGATGGATTTGAACCTGCCACCTTAGGTGTATGTGGCTGGTGCCTTAGCCACTTGAGGCACAGGCGCCAAGCCACAAGCTTTTTATGTATACAGAGAAATTAGTTCTCTTTCTATTACATGACTTGCAAAAAATTTTCCCTTGGTCATTTGTTTTATTATTTTGCTTTTACTTTTTTTGTGTTTTTTTATTTTTGCCATGTAAAATTGAAGTTTAATTTATCAATCTACTATGGTACCTGAGTTTGGGGGTGATATTTGGATATTCTCTGCTATAGAGTTTTAAAAAAATCCTTAGCCAGGCGTTGTGGTGGGCATCTGTAGTCCCAGCTACTCAGGAGGCTAAGGCAAGAGAATCGCCTAAGCCCAGGAGTTGGAGATTGCTGTGAACTGTGATGCCATGGCACTCTGCCAAGTGCAATAAAGTGAGACTCTGTCTCTAAAAATAATTTTTAAAAACCTTCCTATGTTTTCTTCTTGTAAGCTTGCTTTTTTTAACTCAACATGATACCTTGAGGATTATTCCTATAGGTATAGTCAATCACTAAACACAATTTTAACACAATATATAATCCACTTATATATATATATATATAATATGAGCATATCAATGTAATATACCCATAAGTCCTAACTTTCCAAATTGTGTTATGTTGTTTCATTCTCTGAAAGTGTCTTTTGAGGACTGGGCAAGGTAGATCACACTTGAAATCCTGGCACTCTGAGAGGATTGCTTGAGCTCAGAAATTCAAGACCAGCCTGAGCAAGAATGAAACCCAGTCTCTAATAAAAATAGACAGCATTGTGGCGAGCACCCATAGTCCCAGCTACTTGGGAGGCTGAGGCAGAAGGAACCTGAACCCTGGAGTTTGAGGTTGCTGTGAGCTATGATGCCATGGCACTCTAGTCTGGAGCAACAGAATGAGACTCAGTCTCAAAAAAAAAAGTATCTTTTCAAGAGCAGAATTATAAAAGTTTGATGCATTCAACTTATTCTTTTCCTTTATAGATTGATCTTTTGGTACAAACCTAAATACTTAAAATTTCAATTTCCAATTGTTCATTGCAAGTATATATAGAAATGCTATTGATTTTTATATATTAACCTTATATCTTCAACTTTGCTAAGCTCCCTTCTTAGTTTTAGCCATGTTGTAGATTCCTTCAGATTTTCTACATAATTATATGGTCTACAAATAAAGACAGATTCCTTCCATTCCAGTATGTATGCCTTTTACCTCTTTTGCTGACCTTATTGGACTGGCTAGAAGATCCAGTATGATTTTGAAGAGCAGTGGTAAGGCTGGATGTCCTGGTTTTATTCCTGATCTTTAGGGAGAAACAAATAGTCTTTTACAATTCAGTATGACTTTAGCTGTAGGGTGTTTGGTAGCTGTCCTTTTCCAGGTTGAGACAGTTTCCTTCTATTAATATTCTTAGTTTGCTGAGCGTTTTTATCATGAACAGACGTTGATTTTGTCAGTTGCCTTTTCTGTATCTTTTGAGATGATCATATGGATTTTCTTCTTTAGTCTGTTGATATGGTGAAATATTCTGATTTTCAAATGCTGAACCAGCCCTTGCATTCCTAGAATAAAGTCACAAAGTATTAACTTTTTCTGATATACAGTAGAACCTCCATAAATTGACCATGCAAGGGACTGTAACAATGGAGTTGTTCAACATTAGGAATTAGGCCCACTGTACTGACCCACACACGTGGTGCATGTCCAGTCTATGAAAATTAGATCAATTCAAGGAGGTGGTCAATGTAGGGAGGTGGTCAAGTATGGGTCCTACTGTATATATATATATTTAGTTGGATTATATCTTACTGCCAAAATTACATTTTCTATGCCCATGTTTATGAGCGATATTAGATATTGTTTCTGTTTTCTCCCTTAGCCTGTTCTTAAATGGGTTTCTTCAGAATGGCTCCTCCTCCTGGCGCCCAACTGAGGCCTTGGGGAAGGATGCTGAGGAGGAGGGGGAAGAGGAAGAAGAGGAAGAGGGAGAGGAAGACCAAGAAGAGGAAGAGGAGGAAGAAGAGGAAGAAGAGGAAGAGGAAGTAGAGGAGAAAAATGTGGAACTCCTGCTGTCCCCAGATACTTTGTCACCAGACCTCATGGAATTTGAACGGTGTGAAACACTGGGTGGGGAGCTCCCTTCTGTGGGGAAAGGGATAGGAGTTCCTGCGGGGGTCTGCTGCAGCCTCTAGCATGACTCAAACCAGTCCCTGAATCACAGGAGCTCCAGAATCTTGACATAGGAGGGGCTTGGGGATGAGACAAGTAGAGGGGCTAGAGAAATAGTCTTGATGCCATATTTGTACAGTACCCAGTGTTTTTACTTAGACTGGGTGTTTTGTTGGGGTGCCTTGTGGGGGGAGGGTTGATGGTGATTATGAGAGCTAAAGCTCCCCAACACCCCCACACCCTCCTCACACATAAGATCCCACACATACATCTGCCCTGGTCTCATAGTAAGAAACACGGTAAACAGCTGGCTCAGACATCAGGGCCACAGCCTGCTCCACAAACTCAAGCCCCTATAGCAGCCCTGGTGACTTCCACAGTGTTAGCCCAGTAGAAGGAGGATCACTCCACAGCCTGAAGGCACAACTTATAGGCCCCAAATTAATTTTCAATTAAGTGTAAAGCAGGAGTCACAGCAGGCCTGCATAGTCGTGGGCTCAGAATTTTAAGGAGTTTCCTTAAAAAGCCACCCCTCTCCTGTTCCATAGGGCAGAGGGTATTATGTTGCTGGACACTGGCAGGACTTAGGGAGGGGCCCAAATCTATGTCCTTCATGGCCTCTAAGAGGCTTCTCTATTCTCCAAGTGTCAGAGGCCTGCCCAGATTAGTACAGTTAAGTTCTTGGTAGGCCAGGGCGCTGCGGCAAGTCTTGTGCTGTGGTCTAGGCTAGGAATGGAATTCTCAGGAGACCGCTTCGCCCCTGAGCTTCAGGCCTGAGAGATGGCACCACTTCTGTTCCAGGTATCTCAGCTTTTACAAGGTGACCATGGACCTTCTGACTGACAACGGGATCATTTCCTCCAAGGAGGTGACACTGCCCATTGTCTCTGCGGCCATCTCCCACCTGTGGCAGAACTTTTCGGAGGAGAGGAAAGCCAGCCTCCTGCAGGCCTGGGCCCAGAAATATGCAGGAGCAGCTCAGGAGTCCACCCATCCTGAGGGCAGCATGAAGGACAGCGGGATGGACAGCCAGGGCGCCAGTTGCTCGCTGGTCTCCACACCGGAGGAGGTGAGCAGGCCCCGCGGGCTGGCCTGGAGAGCCAGGAAGTCCATTCCCACCATGGCCAGGGACGACAGGGTTTTGCAGTTTTCATCTGAGGGGCTGTTTGGATTCCGGCTCACACAGGTGGTTTCCGATTTTTTCAACATAACCAACCTCCATGGCGGCGGAATGCCACTGCTTTTCTCCTGTTAATCTCTTGGGTTTTTCATGGGTATTAGAACAGGGTTAGAAGGTTGTCTACAAGGTATTCTTCTGGCAGCCAGTGACTTGATTATTAAACCATGAAAAGATGTAGTGCTCACATCCAGAGAGGAGACCCCAGCTCAGCCCCTCCCTTCCCTCTGCCCTGCGGCCTCTCCAGCAGAAGGCTGTGCTCTCAGCCTTCTCCGCCAGCCCCCGAGAGGGAAGCTGGAGCAATCCAGCCCTCATTCCTTCACCTGGACAGCGGATAAAGTTACCCCCCTGAAAGCTTATTCTTAAGGAGCAAGGAAGAACTTTTTCAGAAACCTCTCCATACCCCTCTTTGCCTCTCATAGGCCAGAACTGGTCAGATTGCCAGCCCACTGAACCAATGACTGGCAGTTGGGACAGCTGGACCAATCAGGTCCAGGCCCTGAAAGGCTACCGGTCCCGCCCCCAAGAGCGCTGAGCAAGCTCAGCCAAAAGGAGGCTGTGTAGCATCTGTGAAGGGATGATGCTGGGGTTAGAGGACACTGGTGGGACCACTGTGGTCTTCGCGGCAGAGCGTCAGGTGGCATTTCCAGTCGCTCTGCAGTGAGATGAAAGCTGGCCCACTGCTGCTCTTCTGGAATTAGCAGAGCCTCAGAAGACTACACAGGCTGGGGCTGTCCTCGCCCCTCTCCCACCGCACAGGTCAGGTGATTTCTTTCCTCTCTGCACGTCTTGTGCAGTGCTGGGACATTTAGCATCCATGGTCTCCACCTAATAAATGCCACCCCCTTGCCCTTATGTTGCAAGTGCCCCTCAGTAGGTGGTCCCTTTCGTCATACTAGTCTTCCAGGGTCTCTCTGTGGATTCTTAGGGCCAGAGAGCTTCAGACTGCCTCTGACCCTCAGGGACACCTGGAATGCTCCCATCAGTCTTGAAGTTTCCAGAGCTATTAGGCCCAAGCTTGGAGAGTAACAGATATATCACCCAGTCCTGTCCTTCTAGTTTAGGGTGACCACATTTTAACATTTGTAAAGCGGGCAACTTGGCCAGGGGGGTGGGGCAGGGGCGGGGGCGGGGCAAGGGACGGGGCAGGGGACGGGGCAGGGGACGGGGTAGGGCAGGGCCTAACAACAATGCAAACTTTGATAAGCAGTTCTGGATAATCACTTCTCAACAATTATTTGTTATTATTACAGTTTAACATTATAAAATTAACAAAAATAATATAAAACTCATATTCTGACAAAATAGCCACATGGCAGCAGAAAACCATATATTCCCTTCCTGTTTTCCCGCCCGTTGGTGCATTCTTTCCAAAATTGGACTTTTTTAAAATGCCGCGGGACACAGGACAAATTGTTAAAAATCGGGACTGTCCCGCCAAAAGCGGGACGTCTGGTCACCCTATTCTAGTTTATAGACCTAGCAAGCGCTATGACTTGCCCAGGACACCCAGTTTCTGCTTTAAGGATTGCGTGTCTTTCATCACACGTTTTTCAAATCACTCTGCCTGTTAGTCCCCTGTTGGTGGTCAATCCGCCATTATCCTCCTCATGCTTCTCAGTGTCACATATGGAGATCAGTAGAAAGGGAGGGTACCGGCTCCTACCCCAGACTCACCAAATTAGAATCCGTGACAGTGGAGCCTCCCGATCTGTGGCTTTAATAAGCGCCCCAGGGGACTGATGCACGCGGGCATTACTGAAGGGGACTCTCTGGACAGATGTGTGACAGGTCTATCAGCTACTGTCTTGGCCCCTCCCCCACCCAGTCATCAGTCCACCAGACTCTGATCTGTTGGTCCGCCAGTGCTGGGTCCACTATTGAAAAGATGTGAGTTCTCCTCCAAAGTGGTTCAGGAAGAGCCAGATGACTGGCAGATAAAGACCTCTTAACTGAGGCAAGTGTGAAAGGGTGGCCAGGCCTGGTGTCTTTATAGCCTCAGAGTGCCTTGCCCTGGATCTCACCCAAAGAAGACTAAAGGAAAATACAGGTATGTGCTGTATAACAATGTTTTGGTCAATGAGGTATCACGTGTACACTGGTGGTCCCCTGAGATTATGACGGAGCATACAGAAACCTGATATATGGCACTCAACACTGGCATTGCAGATCAGTAGGGGAAATGATTGATATTCAGTACTGGTACTGGGACATTTCATTTTGCATATAAAAAATGTAAATGAAAACATGTATATCATCTAGGTTTGTGTAAGTACACTCTGTGACATTCACACAATGATACAATCACCTAAGGACACAATTCTCAGAATGCATCCTCTCTGTTAAGCCACACATGATTATGTATACTAAAAGCCTGAGCAATTCCATCAAATCTGACTGTATGCATTTATCAGCATGAACACTTTCTCAAAGGAGAGCAGATCCAGAGAGAAAACACATAGAATCTAATGTCTCCAAATCATGAAAACAGCTTGTCTGGACTTTTCTCAGGGAGGGCTGTGGGCTGATGTTGTTCTGGTGTTAAGGGAAACTGTCAGCAGATTCTCTCAGCCCTGCCCAGGAGCTGTGCCCAGGTTTGGGCCACTGTAGGGCTGAGTGATAAGGTAGGTGGGACAGAGAGGGCTCATGCTTGAGGCAGGGACGAAGCCTGCTGTGGCTTCTAAATTGGCTGCAGTGAACCTGCTGTAGCTGTGGTCCATCTGGAGAGGTTCTACTGTGGAACAGTTGTGTTAGAGGCCAGCAGCTGGACTCAGGGTCAGGTGTGCCCAGAAGGCACTGGATAATTCTATGTTAGTTCTGAAAGGCAAGACCCAGTGAGTGTAGTGAGCACTCCAGAAGGGTCACAGAGGCTGGACGGGAGGGGGTCCCTTCCCAGGCTGGTTGTGAGAGGGTTTTGCATATGTGTGCCCTACATCTTTGGTGAGCTGACTGGTTGAAGACAGGAATGTAGGTCCTGGGTCACTGTTTCAGGCCTACTGGGGAGAAATGTGGAGCTGATGGGCTTTTGGGCTGATAGACATGGAAGCCCAGGCCTTTCTATGGCCCCTTTCTACATTGTCCTTGAAGTGACCAAAGAGATATTAAGTAGAAGGACACCAAAAAATGTCCAGAAAACTAGGAAGGGGACCAGAGTCCCAAGGGAGTCAGTTCTGGGGAAGCAAACTGAAAGGGACATAACGGGCAGACCCCTGGGGAAGAGCAGTGGGTCCCGGGGAGGGGTGAGGTGAGACCCTGCTAGTACCTGCTAACTCAGGGCCAGAGAACTCCCTCGCCTCTCCTTGGCATGACTTTCGATATCAATGGGATATCAGATAAAGTAAAGCATGCCCAGTTACATTTTTTTTTTTTTTTTGAGACAGATTCTCAAGCTGTTGCCCTGAGAAGAGTGCTGTGGCATCATAGCTCATAGCAACCTCCAACTCCTGGGCTCAAGCAATCCTCTTGCCTCAGTTTTTCTATTTTTAGTAGAGATGGGGGGGGGTCTCACTTTTTCCTCAGGCTGGTCTTTAACTTGTGAACTCAAGAAATCCACCAGCCTCGGCCTCCCAGAGTGCTAGGATTACAGGCATGAGCTACCACACCCGGCCTCAGTTACATTTTTAATACAAAAATGTCCCAAGCAATGTTCAGAACATGCTTACCTTAAATTATTCATTCTTTATCTGAAACTCAAAGTTAAGTTGTATTTTTATGTGCTATATCTGGCGATCCTAAGGGTAAATCATGTGTCCATAACGCATTTAATATTCTTTAACAAATTAGGGAAAAGTGGGATGAAAATCTGTCTAAGTAGCAAGATTCCAAATTTGGAAATAAATGATAAAATATGCCTGGGGAAGCATCTGGAGGGAAATAGAGCAATGTGTCAACAATGGCCTGAGTCTTGCCTGAGCGTCTACCTGCTTAAGCAGGAGGAGACCCTGTTCCCAGAGCTTCCTGTCTCTCTCAGCTACGTCTGGGGCTGATAGTTTGTCTCAGAAATGTAGAGCTTTAGTATTCAGCCTCCGAGAAGATCACTGAGCAGAGCCCCTGGGCTTGGGACCCAGGTGGGATGCTGGTGTCCTCTGCCCTTTCACTCACCTCTCCCCCAGCAGCCTAGTCTGTTATTTCTGACACATTAAGTTCTGTGCTTTCTTTCAGATCCTTTTTGAAGATGCCTTCGATGTGGCCAGTTTCCTGGACAAGAGTGAAGCTCCAAGTCCATCTAGCTGCAGGTGAGGGAGAGGGTGTGAGAATGTGTGTGTGCAGCCCCGCTGGGGGGACTAGGAGCCTTTCCTGCACTGCTCCCACATGGGTACATAATTCATTGGAGGTTCTCGGTGATCCACTTTTTTCTGTGATTGAAAGTGGGCTGGTGCTAATATTGTGTTATTGTCCTGAGGATGCATCATCTGGGGCACCTCAGAGGAGAAAATTCTTTTCTCCTAACAGGAGGCCATTAACTTAGGTAAAATAAGTCAGGAACAGAGAGTCCAATACCACATTTAGCTCCCACTTATAGGTAGAGCTAAACATGGAAACCAGCCTGTGCCCTGGACCCATTCACACCCCTTATAGGTGGGAGCTAAATAATGAGTGTATGAGATAGAGAGTAGACTAATAGGCTTGGAAGAGCAGGAGGGTAGGAGGTTGGGGAGATGAGAAATGACTCAAGGTGCATTATGTGCACTAATCAGGTGAGGGTTACACCAAAAGTCCAGACTTCACCATTACACAGTGTATCCATGTAACAAAACTGCACTCATACCCCCTAAATCTATACCAAAAAGTTTTAAATAAAAATAAAAATAATTCTTCCATCCTGGTGCAGGGCTGAGACACAGCAGGTTGTCAGCTCCAGGTTGTGGAAATGCTTCTGGCCACTTTGCACAGCCTTCCCAGAGTGCCTCATCCTGCTTATCCCTGCTCTAAGTCCAGTCTTACACTGGACATCATAGACTGGGTGGCTTATAAACAACAGGGATTCATCCCTCGTGGTTCTGGAGGCCAGGAAGTCCAAGACTAAGGTGCCAGAAGATTCAGGAGTCTCATGAGGACTGCTTCCTCCCAGATGGCATATTCTGGATATAACCTTACATGGTGGGAGGGGCAAGGAATCTCTCTGGGGCCTCTTTATTTTATTTCTTTTATTTTTTGCAGTTTTTGGTTGGGGTGGGTTTTGAACTCACCACCTCCGGTAGGTAAATGGGGTGGGCGCCCTACTCCTTGAGCCATAGGTGCTGCCCTCTGGGGCCTTTTTTATAAGGGCACTAATTCCATGAATGAGAGTTCCACCCTCATGACCTAATCACCTCCCAATGCCTCACTTTCTAATACCATCACCTTGGGGGTTACTAAGACTGGGTGCTATAGACTGTGTCAGTTTCAAGGGGACACAGTCTGTAGCATCTAGTGCCAGGCAGCTTAAGGGTGGGTCACAGCAGTTGATCTGGCAGGAGAAGTGGGCAGAGGCTTTGGGGCCAACATGGAAACTGGCCTGTGTCCTGGGCCTGGAGGAGGCTGCTGTTCATAGCACTGATGGCAGTGGGTATGATGGGGCTGGAGCGGAAGGGAATGGCTGGCCCCATGAAGTAGGGAAACACAGAATAGAATTTGGGAAATTTTCAAAAGAAGCAGTTTAACTAACTCTATCCCAAAGGGGTGTTTTCTGAGAGAGGACTAGTTTAGGACTGAAATTTTCTTGCTACTTTGCTTGAAAACCTATGGTCTTATGCCCAAAAGGACATACCTGTCCTGGAGTCATAGCTAACCGAAGCCTGGACATTTAGTTTTTCTGCCTTGGGAGTGAGGGTGACAGTCGTCCTTACGGTCCCAGCGAGTATCTCCATTATCCTCCTGGTGGGAGGCTGGGCTATGGTGCTGAGGCCTTGGGGCCTGGAGCAGACCTGCAGCCAAACCGGACATCAGCATTTGTCTCTCTCTCCCTTCTTCCTGCTCCACCCAGGCCTAGGTGGACTTGAGGAAAAGTGGGAGTGACAGGATTGCTTTGTCCTCTCCAAAACTGTGTGGGGAGTTTTGGTTTGCTGAAACTGGCTGGAAGAGGGCATTCCAATTTCTGTGCTAGGCTTGAGCTGCTAAGATAACTTTGTCAAGAAGTTGCCAAAGTGTACTTGCCAGGCAGTATTGAGAACTACTTACCCTTCTACAAAAGCAACCTATTAAAAATGCTTCCTTCTTTCTCTAGAAAAGGCAGGAATGCTGACAGAGGGTTGCTAAGCTGATGATAGGACCTTCTCCCAGGAGGAAGGGAGGTTAAAACTCTGACTGCCCTGGGCACCAGCCCTGTATACCAAGGGTGGTGGGTTTGAACCCAGCCTGAGCCAAACTGCAACAAAAAACAGCTGGGTGTTGTGGTGGGCGCCTGTAGTCCCAGCTACTCGGAGACTGGGGCAAGAGAATTGCCTAAACCCAGGAGTTGAGGGTTGCTGTGAGCTGTGACATCATAGCACTCTACCAAGGGCAATAAAGTGAGACTCTGTCTCTTTAAAAAAAAAAAAAAAAACAACGCTGACTGCCCTAAACAGCTCACAACCTCTGTGCTCCAAGGTCCCAGTCACATGGGGCTTTCCACCTTGTCTCAGGAAGGTGCTGGGCAAGAAGCCTGCAAAACAGGCCTCCTCTCTACACCAGGGCTTGAGTTCCACATCTGGGGCATCTTAGGGGACAGAGCTCAAACCTATCTCCCTGAGTGGCCCTACCAGTGTCAGGTGGCCAGAACCATAGGGTATTGCTGCAGGTCGACTCTGAGGGGTAGCGGAAATCTTGCTCCCATTTCCAGAGGCTACAGCTCAGAATACTAAATTAGGGGACGAGAGCCAGTCTCACCATGATCTCAATTTTTCTAGAAGGTTCCAGGCATGACATTTGAACAGAGGCAATACAAACCTTTGCAGAAGAGGTCTGGGCTGTTTGAGAATTTTGAATTGCATAGTTCACACAGTAATCCAAACATTTGGGGGGTGGGGAACAGAGAGGAAAGATTAGGAGCCTGACTACTTGCTGTTTCTTTCTTCTTTTGTTGTAGTTCAATGTTTGCCATCTTCAATGCAGAAAATTCTGAGGAAAAGTTTCAGCTCTATATGCAGATCATCGATTTCTTTAAAGGACTTTGCTATGTTAACAGTCAGTTAAAACAGGTAGGACAGAGCAGAGTGTGTTGTGAGACCTCTGCCCACTCCCTTAGGATGGGCCCTCGCTGGACTTCACCCTCTGTCACACCAGGAGAGGCCACTGTGTAGAGATCTTTCATTTTCTCTCGCCTACTCCATGGATGGTCAACCGCAGCTTGATGTATCCTGTGGGCAGAAGACATCTGGGGAAACTGAGGAAAGAAACAGAAGGATGTCCTTCAGGGCAGACCAGGAATGGGAGCCCTTTGATTCAAGGTCCAGATCCCAGAGTCCTGGCTCTTAGCGGGCATTTATAAATGCCTTTGATGACATCTTTCCAAAAGGCTGGGCTATTCCATCATCTTCTAAGACCTCAGGGGAATATTTACTGTTGGCTCTTGAAAAATATTAATTTCTGCTTCCAAAAGTTGACTATGCCACTTACCGTGACATGAGTAGTGGTAAGTCTTGGTTAGGGAGTTTATTCTTGGAAGCTTTCATGGGGAGGAGGTGGCTTATGCTTGAGCCACCAAGGAGACTGGCCCTTTCAGATTCATAACCATGGATTTTCTCTACTAATTTAGCAAAAAGCACAACTGTTTATTTTTAAAGGCAAACGATAATAGTAGCAAATGTCTGTCTGAAGATAATTAGGACCCCTGTTCAGTAGGCTGAGTATAACTGGGTCCTCCTCTCACCAATTCTTCATTTCCCTCTGCCGGCCACTGTGAAGCCCCCTTTGCAGTTAAGAGCCCCTCCTTGCAGCTTGCTCCCCACCAAACCTTGGCTGGCTGCTCCTTAGAGCAAGAGTCCCCACTTTCTCTCCCGCACAATTAGTCTACTTTTCCAGGACTTTGCAAAGATTAAAAGGACAGTCTATGCTTTCTTTCCTTCCTTTCTCCACATATGGCAGGAAAGACAGAACCAGCAGGGAGTAGAGGATCCCTGTAAGGTAAAGATACTCAAATGGCAGCACTCCCAAGGATTGCCTTGGGGCCTGTTCTTGGTGCCTCAAGATTCCCACTCTGTGCTGTGAGAGCTGGGCCCAGGAATCTGTATTTTGAACAAGCTGTCCTGGTGGCTCTGGGACAGATCTTGGGCTTTGACAGATTCTGTTGTAAAGAGGGAAATTTCAATCTTGTCTTCTCCCTGAACAGGGGCCCATGTGATTGTTCTAGAAACCACCTGACCCCACCTTTCTGGCACCCCTCTCCCTGTGGGGAAAGTGTGGGGAAGTCTGAAAAGCCTTGTTTGCACAGGTCATCCTTGCACCTGATTGTCACCCTTGGGCCAGGTCCCACATTGTTCAGATGGTTGACTGGAGTAGGGATGCTGCCTGGGGTCCACGGGGATTGACCCTGATGTGCAGGGATATCAGTCTGCAGGGTCATTGTCTGCTGGGGTGGAACAGACAGAGCAAAAACCCAGGAACATACTTTCAGGGGAAGAGGTAGTGGAGACTTCTAAGTGGTTGGCTGGGGCCATCATAAATGGAATGAGAAATATTTGCTAAACAAATATAGTGCTACTTCTTTAAAAAAAAAAAAAAAAGTCTCCTAATAGGTAACCCTTGTGTATGGCATAAAATTCAAAAGTGGTCAAAAGATGCACAATGGAAACTTAGTCTCTCTCCTGCCAGGCAGTGTCCCTGTATTACCTGGTACCTTCCTCCAGAGGCAACTGCCGGGATCAGTTCCTTGTACACTCATCCAAGGATATTCTACAGATATTTACCTATTTTTTCAGATGCAAACAGTAGCCTACTATACACATTGCTTTGCGTTTTGCACTGTTCAAAAAATATATCCCACAGATAGAGAACTATCTCCTTGTTTAAAAAAAAACCAAACAGCTGCATAGTGTTCCATCGGGGGCACACCGTGATGCAGCTCACCACCTTCTGTTGGGCACTTGCATAAAGCTTGAAGATTTCCTCTTTCTTATGGGATCTTGCAAATCCCCGGGATAGGAAAAAAGCCACTTCGGGTGGCACCTGTGGCTCAAGGAGTAGGGTGCCGGCCCCATATGCCAGAGGTGGTGGGTTCCAACACAGCCCTGGCCAAAAAAAAAAAAAGAAAGCCACTTCTGCTATATTGTTTCTAGAGGTCACAGAGTGTTGAGTCTAGTAAAATGGAAATGGGACCTTCTCCTGTGTAGGAAGAGAAGCTTGTTTCATCTCAAGCTGGAGATAAAAGTGCAGCTGAAGAGATGTGAGGAAGAGACTGGGGGAGGTGGGCTCGCCCAAGCTCTGGGGGCCTTCCTGTGTGCCTGGGGTGAAAGGAGACCTTTTCTCCCCGTGTGTTACAGGAACCAGCCCTGGACGATGAGATGCTCATGTTGACATGCCTGGAGACCTTTGACGATGAAGACCTGTAATGCACAACAGCTGGGAGGAGAAGGCATGCAGGAGGGTGGGCAGTTCCCAAGTTTGAATGTTGGCAGCTAAGGTTGCACCTGCCACAGCTTCTGGGACTCTTTGGAATGGACTTTCCCAGAAGCATTGTGATAGTTTTAGTTTCTGATTATTACAAAGCATAAGAAAAGTGTGGTCCCATGTCAGTTTTTGGGGGTGTTTGGTATTAGGAGTTGGCCCTACTCCCGGGCATGCCCCACTCACTGTGCTTCTATTATGGGTGCACCAGTGAGCTGAGGCCCAGGTCATGGAAGAGCTGTGCTTCTATTATGGGTGCACCAGTGAGCTGAGGCCCAGG